CAATGCATTCATTTAACCCTTTGCATGGTTTCCTCGCATTAATTATCGTTTTCCATTAGAATGCTATGTATTTTGTGAACATCTGGCAACGATCTCGGGCAACTGGTCTGATTGTGTTCTATGAAAAAGCATGCCATGGATCAGCAATAAAAATACTAGAAACTGGCGTCTGGTTATCACATTTAATTGCAATATTTCCTCTTAATTGTTGCTCTTACATTCTCAACTATCCATGGAGGATGTCAAACATTAGAAATTTGTGGTTGCTATGCTCGTTTGTTTGACTAAAGTTCTCGTTTGCTCTGATTGTGACGTCGTAGTAACAGATACCTCATTGGTACCAAAAGTTTAATTCCAAAGGAGGGTTATTCGTCCCAGACAGTTCCACCTGATTCGGTTCAGTATCCTGCCGATGAGAGTGATTTTCAGAACGCGTTCCCCTACATTCATGGGAACGAAATCAGCTGTACATATATGGGGAGTAAATATGTTGGCTGAAATCGATTGTTAATGTACACAAGTTCAGTTATACTTGATCCCTTTTGTGCATCTGCCTTACATGATACATGTTTTTTTGTTAGTCAACAACAGGTTGGAAAAAAGTTCTTATCATACACTTTTGCATCTATTCCGCACTCACTGTTACGTAAAGTGGTCCGAATTCATCTATTTTTGACCGAAAAACAATGTCACAGATTTTCCATCAATTCAGAAGTTCTCATTTGTTGTTTCGTATTCGTCGAAATTATGCTTTCGAACTGAAACATGTACTAAATCTGGCTATTCATTTTGTTTTGAGGCCATAATTCACCTTTAAATTGTTGTTTCACTTATTTCCGGCTGTTTTTGTCTGACTTGATAGGAATTCGTACAAAGCACAAATTGTAATGTTTGCCAATATTGCATTTTAGCCCTTGGGTCAATCCAGTTCATTTGAGATTGAATGAGTCTCACACGATATTCTCACGGTGTATATCTATAAAACCTTGGCTGCAGAGCTAACAGTACTTTCCTTAAGTCAGAGGTAGTGGATGGAGAAAAATCAAGATGGGGACTTTTAACCGAGTTCATGTACCACAAGTAGAGAGCTCATCAGGAGGCTTTGTAAAATTAAATACATATACATACTTTTGTTTCTTTTCATTGGTATTTTTTACGCGTCCATTAGCGACTTAACTAACATATACTGTTTTGCATCCCTACACCCTGTGTCGTTTTAGCCCGACAAATCTGTTCGACTTGATTGTTCTACGGCAAAAAATGAAATTGCGACCTACCAACTGACGGGTTATGTACGCCGTATTCGCCTCTTTTGGCAACTGTCTGGCACCTATTTGCTGCCCCCACAGTCCACCTCGGCAAGATCATCGAAAAATTCTAAATCCAAGTCAGAGGTCTTCAGAAATACAAGTCTGGTAGTCGGCTCGTCTAACACTACGGCAAACGAAACACAATGGCCGGATGCTCCGACAACTCCCGTACCAACCTATCAGCTGTTACATCCAGATTTCGGTATTCAGATTCGTCTTACATCTCGGATGTTGTTTCAAGGCAATTTCTCGACCGAGCGAAGTACGTCTGTAAACTTATAGTTTTTTTTACTTCTGGCACCTGGATCGTCCTGTATCAGATTAATTTGCTATTCATGGTGACTACAGCTAAACTGATCCTGACATCAATAAAACTGTCATAGGTATTGGTATGCCCCTTGCTATCCGAAGAAGCGATTTTTGGTACAAACAGACTTGTAACATCATGCCTTTGGTTTTATCGTCTCTTGCTCCACGCCACAAGGATATTTATGGAGACAATTCATATCTAGGTTTTTCGAATTAAAATGCCAACAGTAGCCGAGGAAATTATCATCCGCTTGCTAAAACCAGAGTTGTGTACACAAAAAACACTTCTCCAGACACTTATACTTGCCTGACCCAAAGTGAAAAACATCATAAATGAGTGTAGTGCCGACCCAAATCCATTACCAACACTAGCCCAGCTCGTCCTTGTCCGAACAACAGAACTGCAGACCAACTTATCCCATACCCCCACCTCATTACTATCGTTAATTGACCTGAACTGTTTGATCCTCCTGTTATTTTTTCTACATGCCTGTGATTTTTTGCACCGATACTCCACAGCACAACGCTATCTGCTGTAAGATATCTGGAAAAGCCTTCTTACAAACAATGAAATATTTGAAATCGCTCGAACAGTTCATTTTAACCCACCTGTGACAAGTTTTTAGCAATTGATGCATAGATTATCAGACTACTGTGAATATAGTCAGTAGTTGTAAAATAAAGGAGCAATCAATACGGGCTCTTGAATTTGATGACGAAAATCACCGATGGGCTTTGTCACCGTACCCCCATTTAGATAAATAAGGATAACAACAATATTATGCAGCTGATTCTATTTATTGTAGTCCTTCGGGGCTGAATCCCTGTTACTTGAATATGGTAAAAGTATTTTACTATTTCCTAACGCATAGAAGAAAAAAAAACGTTCATTACTAAACCGCAACGTATTCAATTCCAACTTCCATCTGTTATCTTATTTTAGTCGGTTAATCTCCTTCTGTCGAACACAGATAAAAGCTCACTCAGTCAAATGAAATCATATGTTTGTTGTATGCCCTTCGTCCAACTGCCATTAGAAAAACTAGATATTCTGACGAGTCTAGTTGCTAACATTTCATCGGAAGTGAATGTGAATGCATCTCAAATTAAGCAGTTTCCAGTCTTCATTAACACAATTATAATATATCTAAAGAACGAATATTCAGGGAGACAGGAGACCTCGTTGATGCTTCTTGAATTACACTTGAGCTCAATACATTTCTATTATCCTGTGCATCCAGAATTGGAAAGGTAATAACAGCGTGTTGGAGTGGTTAACATATCTCTAAAATTCAGGACGCCCAGAAATTGTGATGTCCTTTGCATTCTGACCTCTGGTTCTAAACCCAAAAACGATTTGAAACTTATTTTTCAACATCTTGAAAATAATATCAAATTCGGTAGAGACATCCGTCATGAAATCCAAATAATCTGACGAGTTCCTGAATAAACTGTTCTCATTTATGAAAACCCTGCGATCACTTTGAGGTAAATAATGGGAATGATTTAACTGATACATCATCATCATCACCATACAGGGAAATGCAGTGAAGCGAACTTCACTGATCGCTACCAAGTTAGCAGTGCATACAAGTTTAGTGGTAATGTGTAAGGTGGACAGCGATTGGACCTATTTTGAGGGAGGTAAACCTATATGGTCAGCACTGAGTGCAAACCCAAACTGAACATACATGCCTCTTCAAATATTCTTGTCTGATAAGTATGACAACAAGAATGCCACTATTGTTGGTTCGCTGTCGCAACGAAACTGCACCTTGACGTGGTGTGATGAATTGTGCACCTCTGTGACCCAACGAGCTACACAGGATGGCTTTTACCCAGCCAAAGATCTATTCATGCCTGGAAGGTCAATGGCTAGAGGTCAGACGAAGTCCAGTCCCTTGGCCCTCCAGGTTGGGTGTTCGACTTGATTTGTTATCTTAGTCCTTAAAAATAGCTGGGGGAGTAATTGATCGAAGTTAATGGGCCTCCAATCCGCTTTAACTGTTTCCTTGTAATAAGGTTCTTGTCAGAATCGAAGGCTTTAGTTGAGAACTCTAATCGTTCTCCTGCCTATTGGTTGGACTCCCGGGTAGTACCCGTCCGCAAAGCTCCAATAAACATACGAACTTAAACTAATTTCATACTCCATCGATCGTCGCGCAGGATAATCAGAACCGCGCTGCCTATTGCCTTCCAACCTTTGTTTAACCCTTCGTCTTCCCTAGCCAACCCTCTCCCTTTACCCCTTCTTCAAACCCATAGCATTCCCTCGGACAACTTGGTCTTTACTCGCTAAAGGCCCAACAGCACTGAAAATAGTCTTCCTGTAAATGAAGTGCAGATTCTGAAGCCTCGTCAACCTCTCGATCTGGGGGCTTTCAACGTGAGTACTCTTATGCAGGTGGCTGAACAAGCTTGTCTTGCGCGTACGATTGACTTCTTGGAAATCGATGTCTGTTGTGTATCGGAGACACGAATTCAGGATCCTAGTATTATAAGCCACCTGAGTGCGTCGGGTCTGTCCTCGGAGTATTTCCTTCGCACATCAGGAGACGATGAAGCCCGCTCACTGGGTCAGCGTGATGTAGGGATCGTTCTAAAACGATAAAGCTGGGGTCTCTATGATAGATTGGATACCCGTCAATAGTCGTTTGTGCGCAATGAGGCTCCAGGGTTTCACTTCACAAAAGGATGAATTTTACGCCAAACTCATTCGGTTGAGCCGCAGCTCTGATATTATAGGTGGTTTCAACACTCATGTTGTAGAACTGAGCGTACCTGAAGCTTTTCGTTCTTCCCGCCCAGCGAGCAGACAACGGTGATTAACTACTTCAGTTCTGCGCGGATCATCGGTTCTTCTTATCCAGCACCAACTTTCGACACAACTCTCGAATGGCTACACGGTGTTCTAGTTCAACGGGAAATTTGACCGAATTTAATCACATAGCTGTGAGCTACTATTGCCGTGGTTCGGTACAAAATTGCAGATCCCATCGGACCACCTGCGTTGTGTCGGATCATGCTCTAGTTCTGTTATGCTTCACTCCGACTCATCAGTCATAGGCGAAAATTGCCTTCTCGGTTAGCTCATCATCGTCTGCGCACGTTACGAGGAGAAGCTGAAACGGGAGCTAGGAGAACCGCGACATATTAGAGTAGACCAACAGTGGAGTCAGATTAAATTTGTGATGCACTCAGCAGCGAAATGCGCCCTACATATCATCGTCCAACATTCGCAGTGTTCCTTGACCTAAAAGGAGCCTTCGATTCTTATGAGGTCGCTGCTTCACAAAGGAACGCCGCGGAATTATGTACACCTATTGAGGTCGCTGTACCTGCATACTTCTGGTAGCGTAAGGGTCTATGGTGGGCTAAGTAAGTCGTTCGAAACCAGGAGCGGTGTCCGTCAAGGGTGTCCTATTTCGCCATTCCTGTTCAATTTCGTCGTAGACGGAATACTGGAGGCGCAATTAGTGCTCCAAAACGTAAGTTGTGAATGGACATCTAGAGAAAAGCTGTGCGATTTAGACTAAGCAGTCACTATGTGGGCCCTTTTTGAAGATGGGAACGGCAATCGATTTCCCCCACCAGGAGAGAACCTGCTCATTGTTCCACACTTTGGAGAACAGAACTTGTAGTTCTCTAACAAGCCTTATTCCACCATCTTTAAATAAAGCAGGGGGAAGGCCATCGGAGCCCGGCGCTTTGTGACGTCCCAAAGCTAGGATCTCCTTACGGATTTCCGCCTCAGAAGGTGGTCTGTTGAAACAGACCATGGGACGTGTGCCGGAATAGCTGAGTGAAAAGCGGACGCTGGTGGCCAGCTAACGTGTGCATTGAAGTGCTCCGCCCAGCGTGCAGGCTGTTGATTGTGAATGAGTGAATCGTCAGCTTTGCAGATTGTTTCACTCACACCCAAGGATTTCCTACCGGATGAGATGGAACAGCTTACGGGAGTTTCGCATGGCACCAGTACGTTCCAGCTCTGATGCGCATTGAGTCCACCAGATTTGCGTAAGCTTGCGTTGCGGTTGCGACTCGCTGCTCGTCGTATTTCATTATGCTAGCTGCCGGTCGGAATAGATCGGCGTGCGTCGAGACTCCGCAAAAAACAAGGGTGTCGCGGCACGACGTGTCAGACCACAAATAACTAAGCCAGCAGAATGCACAGTATTCTTGATAAGCGACTAGTACTGGTTAACGTCGTCGGGTGGGGTTGGTTCTAGCTTTTCAGCTAGCTCGTTCTGAAAGACAGGCGTGCTGGTTCAGACAACTTATTACAGTCTAACCGTGAGCGCCTTCAGTGGTTTGGTCATGTGCTCCGAAGGCCTGAAACTCAACTCTCGGGACAGGCTGTAGCCCCGCAACCTACCGTGGATGGCGTTGCCGACTCGGTGGTCAACTGAAGACCTGGAGTAGTACGATCAAGGCGGACTTGGAATTATTGGGTCTTCAATCCGTATATGGAATTCGCAACTGGAACGATAACTTTTTTCTCACTGCCTCAACCTTGCTACCGATCATCATGCATGGGCCGCCATCATTAGAGACATCCAGGAAGCCGACTTATCCTCTCACAGGAGTTAGTAGATCAAAAGTAAGTCAGTAAGTCCGAGGAGGTACAGTAATCGGTTTTCGGACCGTGGTCATATGATCTAGCATTGCCACATGCTAAACTCAATGTCACTCTCTAGTACCCATTACTGCTCCGGGTTTGACGTTCCATGAATTGATAATGAGTCTCCATGTTTTGTCAAGGCTGTTGTTATTGTTTTTGGTCCCAGAACAGAAGTGTGACAAATTCATTCGTGTTTACTTACTCATTTTGAGCCAATCGGCCGAATCGGTGACATCATGCGATAAAACCCGTTTGGAATGGTAATGCTGTCTGTTATTTGTTTTGTACCGTATAATTGTGCAGTTACGCTTTCTTATTTGCTTTGGGTCCCACCATTTTGTTGCCTATACTGTCTCGATCTGACCTCAAGTAAAATGACTATATTTGAAGTGTTCAGAATTTAACTACTGTGTAACAAAAAGCAGTGGGTGTTACCTAATTGCTTTCGCCCGCCGATCATTGATCACGCCCTTGAAAAAGAATCTAATAGTCTGACGGCAGAAAGAAGTTCAGTCGACCGAGAACGTTCACATAGCGTCTCACGGCGTACCGTTGTATTTTATTCTATTATGAAGCTTTTGCAAACCTTATGTTCATATTAAATTCACAAAAATACCATGGTGTTGTACTAGCTGCGATACAGAATACGAAGTGATTTTGAGTATTTTAGAGAGCTCGGTGGTTACCACATCTTTGTTCAGCGCTACACGACCAAAGTATGTCACAGGAATTTCTACACAAAAGAGTCAGAAGATTGAAATATGATGGTGTGTCACATCTATGATTTAAAGGGTTCAGAATTGTAATGATATTTTGTAAAAGTTTTGGATATAAAATAAATTATCTGAATTTACCTAAGGTATGAATGCTTCCCAATGCTCACGTAAACAGGTAGGTTTTCGTGAAAAATAATTATTTCTGCCCTTAAGTGCTAACTTTTGCTTATGACGTGTGATATTACTTATCGAGTTCATAACAGAAACTAACTGGTGTGATGCTTTGTGATTGACCACCGGCCAATTTTTTCTTGTATTTTTACTAATCTCATTCATTTTCCTATGATTTGTTTTATTTCACAGAGAATGTGCTTTACTTAATCGCAATACATTACGTTTAGCATAAAGGTAATTCGGCGATCACTAGATTTGATCATGCTAGTAGTAGATTTTTGCTGTTGTCCATGGCTTTGCGATCCGTGGGAAATGAATAGGCCGCTGAATCTCATACGAATGTCTATCACACTCACCAAAATCAGCCAATAAGATTCCATTACATGTGTGGACACGGACGCACTTATTCAGTCAGTGTCAAACAAAACGTATCCGCTTTGACTGTGTTTTAGCCGGAACTGTTATGTTCACAATTTGTGAGCAATCGTTGATAAAGTTTAACCAACTGTGCTTCAGGTGTAAATGACAACTTAATTTTAGTAAATCGCTTTATAAAACATCTTCCACTCAGTGGAAATGGTGAATTTGCGACACCCCACCTGAGCCCATCACATCTATTGTGCCTTATTGAGGGTGCAGTGAGTTTATTGCCAAACAGGTGCATGGGAAATAGTTTTTTGACTGGATATATATGTGCGTCATTTCCTAATCCAATTACCGCCAGGGTGGGTTGTGTTATTAAAAAAAAACGCGTGAATGTCCTAAGTTGGTAATTGATGTGACCATTTTAAGTATCTGAACCAGTGGTTGCAAAAGCATATAATTAGTTCCCATTGGTCATTTGTTTTAGGTTCCGCCAAAAAACCCCAGTGCAAGTGTGCATGAATGCAAAATGAAAAGCGTTGCTCACATGCAGACGAACATTGTGAACTGTCTCATACATAGTTGGATCCAACACTGTCGGGTAATGAGAGCAACGAGCTCCGACGGATTATTGCATTCACGTGGCTGAGAACAAAATTTATTTACGATTTCATCAGCTTTGCCTGTGTTCACTTGTGCCCGTTTGTTGGTTATTTGACTGCAATGGGTTTAGGTATTTGCTGTGGGTGATAGACAATTAACCTCTGCCTGCCGCCGTGGCCGATTGGCTTGGGTGTGGGAACATCAGCTGTCTTCTGTATAATTCACGTGATTTTAGGTCTCCAAGATCATATACGGCGAATTCCTTGTGTGGGCGCCCACGCAGCCGTTTAAATTCGATTCTGTTAATCATTGAGAGACCAAATGGATGCACCATCACGGTTGCTTGATTACCGATTGATCCGTCGTCATGACGCCTGTGCGCAAATTAGTTATAGTTCGTCGAAAGTATATGTGGGACATTTGAACCTTGATTCTCGATATGCGTACAATGTTGATTGCGCTATTGACCTCGACTGTTCGCATCGGTCGAAACCTCACTAGTCCCCGATCGTTCAATGGGTACTTGAATTTTTCTTGTGAAAAATGAGCTATTCTTAACCACAAACTTTGTTTTTACTGTGTGAACAAGAACAATAAGAGACCTAAACAACTGTATGTCTATCTTTTCTATCCTCCGATTGTATGTGTTATGTTACGGACATACCTGGATTAGTGATGCAACGAACAGTGCTTTCTCTTTCTGGTCTCAATATACAACGGCACGGATTTGAAAATCAGTCACATTATTGCCGACATTGAATGCTTGTTTTCCTATCGATCTGTTGAGGAATATCCAATACCACAGTTGACTGTTTTTCAGCAGAGTGCGTGTATTTCTGTTTATAGAGCATTGTGTGCCAATCTCAACGGTCCAACAGCGGCAGGTATAATTGTCTGCGCGTTTCGCTTTTTCCTGAACGCTACTCATTTATTAATAGATACTTTTTACCTTGGTCAAATCGCAGTCTAATGAACCTTCACTTCAGCGAACCGAGTTACGCACATGCATCCCCCCAACCTATTGTGATTAGGCAAATTAGTTAGCTTTTCCTTTTCGTCTAACCTCAGACTTGGTGTAAATGTGCGTCAGGCTCTGTTATTAGTGCAGCTTACCACGCAACTAAAATAATAATAATAGTAAGTTGATGATAGCACCCAAACTCTCGGTGCATCACTGTTGCTATCATTATCTTACGGTTGACCAGCTCATCAAATAGGGAAAAGTAACGACTAATATTCTGAGCAGTAAGAACCCAGTATCTCAAATCTTATAGATCAAAGCTCATTAAATTGTGATTATGTTTTGAACTTTAGAATCCAATTTTTGTCGTGTCACATTGTCTTTCAGATTGATGCTATGCAACCGTAACTTGAATTACCATCTAGGACTGAGTAATAAACATACGATAGACAGTGAATTAGAAGTAAAAAGAGTCACTTTCACTTGAATACTCTCGTTCCTCTCACTTTTACCTATTCGGTTTATTGTGACAAATTCCTGAGTTCGTCCTAACGCAGGCTGCGATTGTATTTGCTCGAGTTTGATTAAGCACTGTGTGTTGTGGATACAGTGTAGAATGAATGTTACTCGGGGTACAAGTTATCAACTGACCGTAACGTAGGAACCATGTCTTGTTTAGACTATAGACCTATCATTTAGCCGCAGCTGGCTACAGCCTAGTCAGAGGAGGATTTGGCCACTGCTAGACGCCGGATCGATTCGGTTTGTTTGCGGTGTTGTCAGGGTATTTAAAATCATCACAGTATTATAACTTGCATACTTCGCTTACCACTTGTGATTAGGGTATCCGATGCGTCAGGTTTTTCATGTGTACGCGCTGAGAAATCAATCATTGCCAGTGTGAAACTCAACCTGGAAACAGTTACAAGTAACAGCACTTGCCCGATTCCTTTAATGGCTTGTTTTGTGAGATTGTATGTGTATCAGTCAGATGGGATTTTGTTTGTTGTTTAGTCCATATCTTCACTTAGCCTGTATATGGTCTACCAGTTCGACTAACGGGTCCGTAGGATTGCTGAATAGCTGTGGAAAGATGCAGAATTTTGCCCTATCACTCAGCCTGCATGACCTCGTGCACATACACTCGGCTTTTCAACAGCTTACGGTCCAGTTTTAGGACATCATGTACGCTGTGTTCATTGTCCTGCCCGGTTGTATTGATTTACAAGAATACGGTACAAAAGGATTTATGATACGTTCTCCAACAGAAATTGCGATGCGTCGCTCAAGCTGCCACTCTCTGCTAGGTGGTAGAATCGAGCTCATAATTGGTTGTCGATTTCTCTCGCTCCTTTACCCGTTCCTCCAGAGCGAGCATTGTGTGAATTCTTTTCCGGATTTTGGTGTCCGAGTTCCCAGCTGAATTCGACAACTCGGCCAACAGAAAACGAGGATCTGGAAGCTTGTGTTCAGGCCTCAATGCGATGTGATAAGCTTCCAGACTGCAATCCTTCGGTCCCAATCGATCGAGGACATATGCTGTCGGCGGACGAACTAAATTGTGACCTCAGTCCTTTCAATTATTCTACAGAAAGACAGGAAAAACTAAGTAAGTTGCGTTACTGCATCGCACTCATTCTAAATGATGTCAACCGATTAGGTTTATACCCGTCCCTAAAAATTCATTTAAGATGGGACAGCAATAAATCATTCGGGCTAAGTTTTGCGTATTCTTCAGGATTGTAACTGATCGAAAGGTTTGCTTACAAAAAGTAAAAGTTGATGTCTTCGGGGGACATTCTTTTAAAGGAAGTAATATTCCTTCCCTTTTTTTATTAGTTTTCCCAGTGTGGTGAACTAAAAGAATTGATAAACTGGAGAACATGTTAACCTCTTAGTGACGAAAACCGAGTGTTCGGTTTGGGGATCTGGCGACCTTCCTCTGATACCTGAATTAGCAACCTACCAAATGACCCGCTTAGAATAGGCTTGGTATTGAATCGCCCATTGCCAACTACCTTTTTCACGGTTCTCGGTTTCCCCCTCTCCTCAAGATACGACAAGGCTTTGGGTGTTCCTCGACTCATTTAGAATGGCTAATAGTTGAATTTTCGTTTGCTTTTGAATGCATAATCGTCCAATCACCCTGGAATCTTTTGTAAGTGATACGTACCAAACATATCGAGTTTTCATGCACATGTGGAACATCGTCCGGTCCTCCCCCAAAAGCCAAACGGTTATGCAAAAGCACCTAAAGCAATATTGCTCATAACTGTAAGCATTTGTTTAAGTGTGTACTTGTTTCAACCCATACGATTTCACCGCTACCAGCTTCAGTTTTCACAACCATTGACCATGTATTTTCATGCGCTATCAATGTTCGCTTACTGACCCGGTATTTGTTGTGCGTGGCTCCCGCTCCTCGGGAGTTCGTGGATCTGTCATGCGCTTTGAGCAGCATCTTCGTCTTCCCGGTCTTGACGCGCTAGCCGTTGACTTTGAAACCCTGTGCTACTCACTTGATCACCAATATTCGGGAACCAGTTTGGCATCAATTTATGATTTATACTTATTTTAGCTCCTGCAAATTTCCGAACGTCGAGGTCTGTTCATCAATCCGGTTATTGTTACATTATTTATTACGTAATTCACGCGCCGTGTTCTTGACTGCTTGTGTGTAGTATTCAATAGGCTGTTAAAATACGGCTACACGGTGCTAAATTGCGTTCGTGTGTCAATTTTCATTCCTGTTTCTTATTAGGCAATTCAAGTCAGACTGATCGATGGACCTCCAAACTCCCTTGGATCGGTATGTATCACTTTGGATTACGTGTATTCTTTTATTTTTCACCTTTGTTCTCTTCCCCATAATCCCATCCGCCATCTTCCGCTGGCTTCCTTCCCGTCATCATTATGTTCGTCTCTATTTAACTTATTCGCAGTTCTCGAATCGATTGAAAATTTAAAGGCCCACTCGTGGGTCACTTGCTGTTTGGTTCCTCTGGGTTATAGCTAAAACTATCTGTTACCTCTAATCTGACAATCCTGCGGGTGAATCTGCGTCGCCCGGAACAGGAGAAATGGGTACTTTTGTTTCTTTATTGTTATGTATCGTTATCAATACATATTCCTGGACTCTTTTTCACTTGGCACAGAGCTGCATACTACCTGGTAGAACAGTGACCACCAAAGGAGGTTCATGTTCACCAAATAAGCAGCTGTACATGATCAGCGGCGGCGCTGCTTGAGCTCATGTTGGGCTTAGTAATCACGCTCCCTATAAAACGCTATAATAGTCTGATGAAGGTAATGTGACGGCAACCCGGTTATGCTACCATTGCTTCCTGTTCTCTCTCATCTTTGTAAAGTTATCTCTGAATCGTTGAATGAATCAAACTACTGGTTGCTGACTTTTCTGATAGAAAAGAAACAATCAACGCATTATGCACCCCAGATTAAAAAGCCCAACGCTGTTGAGAACGGCGGTCGGAATCCCATTCCCTCTAGTCTTTATAGCTCATTGTAGTCCGTGGAATCGGTTCACCTTAAACTCCTTGAGGGTCAAAGATCAGACTAATTTCAGACGTGATAGATGCTGCATCGACAACGTTTACTCTATGCGCCACGTTTTCTCACAGAGCTACCCATCAACATCACTCAATGTCAAATTGAGGTCTTAGGAATAAAGGGTTTGTATGATCGATTGTCTACAGTAGCCCAAAAGTTAAGCTTACCTTCGGATTTCGCGATCCTAAGTTCATTTTTCGTTCAGATCAGTGGCTTTGCCATGATGACACTGCATGGCCGTGTATATGCACACCTTTTTGTTTTTTCTCAATTGTTGCTCTCTTGGGCTTCATATTTACAGTTACACGATAGACAATTGAGCCTCAGTGATTATCCACGAAATATACTCCGGGATTGTTCTCCCTGAATAATTCACTGATATGCCATATCTGGTTAATCACCTAGCTCTGAGTACCGACATATATATGTGTTAATAAGTAGTATGTGAATGACTGGGCATCATTTCCCTAGAAGCACACGACCGGTTTCGCGGTTCTTGCCGCTCACCAGGCATGCGTACCCGGTAATCTTTTGTCTGTTCATTCATATACTTGTACCCAGGAAGAGTATTTTCGTCACAATAACCTTGTTTGCAACACCATATATATATATATATATGTATATATATATATATATATATATATATATATATGTGTGTGTCTTTGTGCGTGGTACACACTACCAAACAGCTCGTGACTCTATATATATGTGTGTACACTTATGTCTATTTGCGCGTAATCTTTTTAATTGATTCACAAACTGCATGAATGCTCTCTCCCTTTCGAGGGTCGTGTTCCATTCACTTCGGTCATTTTCGAAGGCTCAGTGAACGGAATGCATTTCACAGTTTACGAGTGCTCGCCCGCGTGCGCACACTTCGTTCAATAAATCAGTTTGTCACATTACACACCTTATCTGATCGATACTTGACGCTATCTCGCATTGAAAACGACATTCCCAAAGCACTTCTACTTGAGTTATTTCGATTGTATCTCATGTGTGCGTTTTTGTTCAATTCTCCTCCGCCAACTTCCATTAAGCAGTGCTCACTTTTTCATCATTTATTATTCTAGCTATAATTGCATATAATACAACAATAAGATTCGTAGCATCATAGGAAATGTTCACTATAAAACCGTCGGACTGATCGATGTTTCATTCTCAACCGTTTTTGAAAGGTAACACGCCTGATAGTGATCAATTTACCCAAGTGATTGCCTCCGACTAACTCTGCTCAATCTTGATTGTTGCGAATTTCACCGAAATTAAATCACGAACACGAAGCCACTTTGCACGAGGCAGTCTGGATGATCCACAAAACAGCCATTTTGGGACACTTCTTAGGTGGAAAACATTGCTCAACCTTAAGCATGCATGCTCATACGTTAGCCGACCATGATGAAACCGGAAAATATATCGCTTCTTATTTAAGTTAATTTCCAAATCGATAATGTTGTGTTCGGATTAGACGTACGAATGACACGAGCGACTCTTGCTTAACCCCCAACGATAACCCGGAGAGAGAACACAGGTTGAAATAACAGTCAGTGTGTATTCTTTTTGATTAGCTTTCGATACGCAAATATATAGAACAAATCACGCATACGAAAACGGCGCAGTGGCGCACTAATCTATCAGATTGCGTCCATGACACATCATTTGATCGATTGGACAAACATTGATTCGTTCCAATCGGGCTCAGCTTGTCTGGCGCGTTGCAAGCGTGCGTGTGGCCTGACTCGGAGGCGTGCGCGATCGGACGGGTTGCTTAAGCTCCGTCCTAACAGACAATACCTGAACTATTTCTGCATCAATACTTAGGGATTCTTCAGCAAATTTTACGAAGTCAAAATGAATTTTAAATATGGCCAGAATCGTGGCTGTCAGCTGATATTGATTCCAATTTGTTCTACAGAGTGTCTCTTCTAAGATACAATCGTCTTGAACGTGGCGATAGTGTTATACCGTATTTTCGGTACCATCTGCGGGGCGAGGCAATATAGTACTTCTATTCAAATGCATCTGTTACGTTTCTATCAAAAATTCCTCAGACAACATTCTCATGTCCATGATCTATGCAAGATTGCGGAACCTTAGCACCTTTTATTCAATTAGGTTGACCATAGAGAAGAACCCAATTCGTTGTTCTCCTAGCAACCATCTATCGAGTCTTATAATTCTCCTAACATTTTGGATTAACATCACGGTTTTCACCAAATTCAGCATCTAAATATTACCTATTTCTAAATCGTACGAGGAAATGAATGTCTATCGTGGAGAAAATACAAACGGCTGATGTAGCAACAGTCGCTGGCACGGATTTTCATTTTTGACTCTAAATAGTTATACAAATATGCTAACCCAACTCCGATTTTATAATTGGGAATACGGATACTACCTTGAATAATCTGAACCACTACAATGGAAGTAACAAATGCTAAAAGTTCAGTCTACCCAAGTTCTTTTTGCTGCATAGAACGCCTAAAGTGTGCAGCCTCCACGCCTGTTGTATCATCTTTATCCTTCAATGGCGACCCTAACGTTTGTCGCTAAAACCTCTGAAGCAAAACTATTGGCTTTTCGAAAACCGCATCCCATGTGTGAACGATGTACACGGACAAACCCTTATCTGTTGGACGGACAACACATCCGAACAACTAGTACTTCTATTCTTGCCACCGATCGGATATCACTTGGCGCTTTACCAGTAAGGCTATAAAATCTGGATTTATAGGATTTGAAAAACAAAAGTTTCTTTTTCAACGTTCACTCACTTTCAGATTGGTAAACAAGCTGCCAACTACTAACCTATAACCATACTTTCAATACTATCCAAGTCCGTTGAGTCGATTTTAGCTTATTTCCTGATGGATACTTCAAAAGAACTGACATTCTCTTGCAGAAGGCTTGCAATTACGGCAATCAAAATCTGGACTTTGATAGGATGGAAGCATTTCTCCGACGTCGGACCACATCCGTTCGAGGTTTTGATTCCCTGTCTAGTTCTCTCATTGATACCTGCAGTTTTCTCTAAATATCTGTATTTTATCCCTGACTTTTCGTACCATTCGTAAATGACCTGCCGAAAGTTCTAGGGCAAAAAACAATGCTGTTTGCAGTCGACGCCAAAATGAGTAATGCATTAACACAACACTCCAGGTAGCGCTTATTGCAGCCTATCAGTGATCTATTGAGAACGACATTAAATTCAATCCTTCTAAATGCAAGTTCTCTTCCTACTTGTTATGTCTTGTGTCAAGATGATGTGATCGATACGTACGCCTCTTTGCCTAGGCCCCAACAACTGGAGGAAGAGCACTGCTGAGAAACGACAGTCAGAGTGTTTTGTTGATCATAAAGCAACAAGCAAATATATGTGGTCAGTTGGGCGTACGCGAGCAGACTTGGTGACGCGCCAGTCAGATCGTGACCTTGACACTCAGGTTGATCGACCGGACGACAGCTATTTGATTCGCCTTGGTCATCCAATCAGGAGTCGATTCGGCTTGGGCGTCACGAGCGTACATGTGGTGTGACACGCGTCGCTGCGTGGCAGGGCGGACTTTGTGTACTCCGTCCTAACACTACTCCACAAGGGGCGATTCCTGTGTTTCCCCAGAGATCAAAAACTGCCACATGCCTCGAGGAAGAAAGGATTTAGCGTCAGTGATCATGGAGATTCATTCTGTTCGATCAATTACACCAGAGCTTCGTACGCAGTTGTTAAGAATATCGATTTGCTTTGGTTGGTTTGAATCACCGCTGTTCCCACATTTGGTATCAGCCTATAATCGACCACACACAGACCATCCCATCCAAGCCTGAAGATAATGGGTGAAACCTGATCGTAAAACACCAGGACCGCGACAAAGGATAGCCACTACGATCTTGAAGGGATTGCATTGCCTCACCTATGCGGACAGATTACAGTCATTGAGAATATATTCTTCTCAGTATTACCAGATACGATGGGCCTTGTTTTTAGTGTGTTCAATGCTAAATGACCCATCCATGTAGTCTGCTGCTCACATTGTTGCTCCTCTTCACCTTGAGGGACATTCTTTTAATTAATGCTCGATTAGAATACCGACGTCAACCTTTTGCCACTTGGAATACTGTTCCGTGTCACCTTGTTTTTGCGCCAAATGTTGAATTTTTCAAATGGAGACTCGGCGAAACGCTACCATACCTCTCATTCCAGCACTGGTAAAAAACGCTAAGCATCAGACGAAGACGACACATTGTGGTATTTCCATACCTGGAACAACATGTGACATCTCTAGTTTTTGACCGAAAAATGATTAAACTGTGAACGTATCCTACAGGACAATATACGCATGCACTTTTAACCAATTCCTATGATATATTTTTGAAATTTGTTTATGAAACAAGCTTTTCCCGTGATAAATTTGAAAAGAGAAGCCAGTATAGAAAATGTTGCTATACTGCTATACTTTTCGAAATAGATCTATTGCGCCGTTTAATATCGGCATACATTAGCCCACACACTGAGTACGTGACCAAAAAGCGCTCAAACGTCGGCAGTTTGTAAAGTTAAAGTTTTATTATGGGAATAACTTACAAGCTCGTGCTTCTCTTGTCCCCATAGGATATTTACACATGTGCATCGTTACACGTTGTAAAAGAAGTCACATATAGTTCCGGGTAGAAGATAATAGAAAATGCAGGGTACAGTGAATTTGCGTCTTGGTGTACGAATGTAAGAGGTGCCTAGGTTTCATCGAGTTTGCTTGAAAGATTACATGGTGGATGCACAAACGAAATGAGATGGAAAGGCGTTCCAAGAACTGCATACTCTGACTGCAAAAGAGTAGCGCCGGCATTCCAGTCGTCACTTTGCAATCGTGGCATGAAACAGTGTCCCCCAAGGTGTACATTGTTAAATAACAAGAGCAGCGATCGACACGAATGGTTTGGGTTCTGCATTATTTGATACGTCAAAATCAAATCTCCCCGAGTTCGGCGGTACTGGGCAGAATATAGTCCCAATGATCGTAATCTTTCCTCATATGTCAGGTAATGGAATCCCTTGACCATCTTGGTGGTCATCCTTTGTTGACGCTCAAACATCTTGCGATCACGTTGCAACCATGGACTCCAAGCTTGGATGGCGTACTCTGTGTAGAGTCGAATGTACGCCGATAGCAAACGTGGGAATAGTGATGATTCAAACCGGCCAAAGCCTCGCCGNATGATTCAAGCCGGCCAAAGACTCGCCGAATTAAGCCGACATCCTTCATAGCAGTGGACGAAGCCTTAGTACAATTGATGGAGCAGCTTACATCCTCTTGAACACCAATACCTAAGTCCTTTTCATCAGAAGTGTGTAGTAGCTGCTGATCCCCGAGGAAATACGAGAATTTTCGCTTGTGGCGTAGGGATAGAACTTTGCATTTAGAAACATTAAATTCAATGTCGTTCTCCTTGGACCATTGATAACCTGCGTTAAGTGATTTCTGAAGTGTTAGAGAGCCCTCGGGTTCTGTTATCGTGTTCCAGATTTTTGCGTCGTCTGGAACACCGCGGGTGGCTTTGATAGATCCGGATGTTGAATCAGAAACACGAACTGATATAGTCCGTTGTTCGAGGAATGCTTTAATCCACTCAAATGCGAAATCTCGAACGCCATAATTGCAGAGCTTCAGCAGCAAAATTTTGTGATTCACCCGATCAAATGCTTTCGAGAAGTCGAGGTAAATCGCATCCTCTTCGTTGACTGTACTGGTCCATTCATCTCGAACAAGAAGCAGGTTGGTGGAGCAGGATCGCTTTTGCCTAAGCTCGTGTTGAGTTGTCGAAACAATGTTGTATCTTTCGAGGTGTTCCATCAGAGAATCTGCCACAATTGACTCCATAACTTTCGATAACACCGGAAGCAGGGTTACAGGTCGGTAGTTAGCGGGGTCACTACGACAACCACCTTTGTATATGGGTGAAATTATTCCTTGTTTCCACGATTCGGGGAGTGTTGCTTGATCGAACATTCGTTGAAACAGAATCGCTAGCGGTTCGGATATGTGATG